ATTCAGATATTAACTCGTGTGATAATTCAATCGGGAAGTAAAGTACATTCTCTCATATCAATACACAATGTGAGATAATCACCTGATGCGTCAAAATTCAAAATTTATAATTATTGGTATAAAAAATGGGAAATAGGCTATCTGTATGTAAAGTTAAAGGGACAGATGCGCCATTCGTTTGACCAATTGTAAGCCCTACTTTGGTTTCAGAAACGGGAATTAATTAGCTAAGCTAATCAGTAATAGTGTTCACAGCTCATCATCGAATCCATCTGTGACCAGAACGTTAAAATTTTAAGATACTCGGAAAAGAAATTCATAGTTAAAAGGAATTATGCGATTTTCGTACATTTCTAGTACTTCTGAAGACTATCTACATGTATTCAAGATTCAAATCAACCCCCTAAAATAGTGTACATATCCATTTTATAACTAACAGCTTAAAAACAAGACTGAAACAGATTAATCATACTATATGTGCTGATTCATATAGTTTTTGTTTTATAAAAGCAGTAAAACTAACAATACGATTTTGATGCGGTTGGTCATTTGCTTGGACTGTGGGATAGTTTAGTCAACGGAAAGTTGGTTTGTTGTCTGCTAGGACAGTGGAATAACTTAGTCAACGGAAAGTTGGATTGTTGTTTGCTAGGACAGTGGAATAACTTAGTCAACGGAAAGTTGGTTTGTTGTCTGCTAGGACAGTGGAATAACTTAGTCAACGGAAAGTTGGTTTGTTGTCTGCTAGGACAGTGGAATAACTTAGTCAACGGAAAGTTGGTTTGTTGTCTGCTAGGACAGTGGAATAACTTAGTCAACGGAAAGTTGGTTTGTTGTCTGCTAGGACAGTGGAATAACTTAGTCAACGGAAAGTTGGTTTGCTGTCTGCTAGGACAGTGGAATAACTTAGTCAACGGAAAGTTGGATTGCTGTTTGCTAGGACACAGGAATAGTTTAGTCAATGTGAGTTTGATATTGGACATACAAAAACAAAAACATATTTTCATTTAATAAACAACATATTTTCATATAAATAATCGATATATTTTAAAAACAACATATTTTAAACACAACATACTTTCATATAAAAAAAAACAAATTCTTATACTTAAAAAATGGTAAATTGCTATAATTATAATATTATTATTGATAAATTGAGTAGCAAATCAGATATTTTGTTATGCTTTTTTTATCTTCAAGCAGGCAAAAGTGGGCTGGCATTGCCATTCAAAATTCAATAATGAATATCCTGCATATAGCGAAGGTATACCCCAACTTCTTGATTGACATGTGCCATTTTGAAAAGGGAAACATGTAGGCCACGTATTCTCGAAACAATCTTAGCTAGAATGTTCTAGAATCTAAGTTAGAAGATAAGAAGTAAGGACATCCTAGCGCTAAGATCGTTTCAAGAATAAGCAACCTAATAGAAGGCTACATTGGGAGATACCTGCCCTTGTTCGGGAATATTTAATATTTTAAATCACGTGACTGTCATGTCATGGTTGTAAAAAAAAGATATGACAAAAGAGAAGATGCATCGTACAATATTGTTAAATGACGTTTCGTATCATATATCTTTCGTCTTTTTCACTGCCTTTTGGGCTTTTTTTATTATATTTTAGCTTTTATATTAGTAAAAATAGCATAAATGATTTTTGTTAAACTGTCATCAACTCAGGTATTGCATACAAAATGTTGAGTAAATGAAATCTTCACTTTAAACATTTGTCATTGAACATTTTAGAATTCACTGTAATTATGCTTAATTAGTTAATTAGTACATTCCCTTCTTAATTAACCGTTTTAAAACAAATTCAGTTTGATGAAGTAGAAACATAGATGTAAATAACATATTTTAATAAGTTTAAATACCACAATACTGCATGTTTCGTTTCATGTCGTGTTTTTTCTCATCAAATTTTAGTCAACTGCAGATAAATTACGAACTAATTACTAAAAATCTTTATTTAATGCATATTAATTTAATCACTACTTTTTACGTAGTGTTTACGTAGCTTTACATTGGTATTAGAGATGAGAGCCGACACCAGGCCGACCCTCGAAAACACTGGCATAGGCATCAGAATTTCTCTTAACTTGAGGAGGATACGAACCCGCGGCACCCGCCTGGCAGACGACAATCTAACTCACTACCGACTGAGCTATATTACTGCAACAATAAAAAGACAGTGTTCAAACCCAGCGTTAGAGGGAAGTGTTGACGTGGGTTGCTCCTCAGATCGGCTACTCAGATGTTTTATTTTGATGGCCCACTAAGCTACATCTTCACAATGTCAAGCTAAAACGAACTGTTTCTAATACCTTGACTGCAGTAACCCCCTTTTTTGTATCGCCATCTTTACAATATAATACATCATCACATAGAACCCCAGGGTTGGGAAAGTAGTATATCTGGAGGGGCAATGGTGTATGGTGCTTATATGCACTGAAATTAGTCGGTGGTCAGAATTTTTAGCATGTCCTCGCTAATTTCAATGGATGTCGGTAGGGCCTTTTCTTGAATTCTTGAATAATTTAAATATCTAAACTTTGTATTTATTTAAATGAACAGCTACAGGGACAAATGGAGAAGGTCCATCTTTAACTGTGGACGAGAGAAAGGCGGTGTTAGAATTGTGGATTGAGAGAGCCAAGGGAAAGTAAGAGATTACACTCTATTGATGGAACACACGCCCCTCATGAGTCCTGAGTCGTCTCCGTTAATTGTCCTTGTTAAAGAGATTGTAAAGAAGTTTTTTTAAAATGTTATGTGTATCGGGTACACTGATTGCATCAATTTGCACCATTCCAATTTTCAATCAGACAAAGCGTTTTATGACGTCACTATCTTTACAGATTTGTTATCATTGCCCAAACCGGTGGTTGTAATCAGAGAGAGGCTATAGAATTAGTAAGTTCAGATCTTCTCTTATATTACAACATCCTGTTTTACAGGATTAGTTCCACAACCAATAATAGACAAATGGAATATGAGAATGGAAGAAGGGAGGTGCTGGGAGGGGGAGGGGGGCTTAGGGTGGACACCGGAAATTCTTTCACTATGTAAAATGATGAAATAAAGACGCCACTACCCACGGGCTCCCACAGCTAAGCCTGTTCAACACTTCAACACTTCAACTCTAGCTTATTTTTTTTATTTTAGAGTAAACATGCAGGACAAGTCGGTGTTGATGCCTTTGCATGTATGGTTCCATCGTTCTTCAAGGCTAAAACTGAAGGTAAAAACTGATGTCTTGAGATCTGTGGCGCTGGTGATATTAAAGGCCATGGTCCACTATTTTCGGTGGTGGATTTGGGTATTGAATATACATGTAGGCCTATGTCAATAGTCTTTGGAAGTACTAGAAATGTACAAAAATTCCTTCAAAAATATCTCAAACAAGAAATTTCTCCCCTTACTGAATATTGTAAGTCTTGTCGACAAGGTCTATAATAGGACACGTGATGTACAGATTTTTGATTATCCAGTCCATAACCGTTTTCTGTTTATTATTTTAGAGGCAGTTGTACAGTTTTTGGAGCCTATAGCCGCGGCAGCTCCTAACACACCGTTCTATTATTACGATATTAACTTTCTCACAGGGGTATACTGTAAGTTCTTCTAAATCCATAATCCAATGACATACAAGAAGTAACAAGCAAACATTAGAGTGTGTATAAATAACGGTATATCAATATTAAGATGATGTACAGAGTTATAATTAAGATATCAGGGGAAAAGATGCTAGCCCGGTTTTGATTTGATTCTATTATTACCATGTGAAGCTGATATTCAATAGACGTTGTTTATTTAGACATTTTCACAACGTCAAGCTAATACAAACTGAATCTAAAACCTTGACTGCAATAGCCACCTGCTAGTATATAATCAGGGGCTATTATTCAGTAGAGTACATTCCAATCAAACCATTGCATTTACCAACTTCCGTGATACAAGAAGAGTGTCTATTACATTCAAGGTATCAGATGCAGTCCGTGAATAGCTTGACTTTGTGAAGAGATTCCTGGGGTAGTGTATGAAACGAAACATTAGAATCAGATTTTTTGCATTGCAGTGAATACCCGTAAAATCCTAGAACTTGGTAAAAGTCGAATTCCCAATCTTAGGGGAGCAAAATTTTCCTGTCCCGAGATGTCTGGTCTATTTGATTCTACCTTGGCAGACGATAACATGCAGATCATGTGTGGCTCGGATATGGTAGGTAAAATGGTATTTAGAAGGTGTGTGGATGAAGGATAAAGGCACATGCAGGGACGATTTCAAACAAGAAAAGAATAGTCCATTTATTTGTTCGTTGTCGTCTGTCTTATAAAGTTTCATGTGTCCAATATATATCAAGATGGCTACATGGCCCGTAACCAGATTTGATTGTTTGAAGGGGTACAATGGTGTACACTTGTGGTGTTTAGTTGCAGTAATGGAATTGGTCGGTTGTCTTTTTAGGTGGGGCAATTCCCCACGCCACCCCCGCCCCCACCTTGCCACATAGTCACGGGCCTGAAAGGGACAGTAGATTGTTAGTAAGTAGTTAGTCATATACAAGTTAATTCAATATAATATTTCCAACAGTTCCTGGCAATGTTGGCACTAGGAGTAGAGGTACCAGTTGTTTATGGTCACTATTCTAAACTCTTCAACCAGCTTCAGCAGGCCTTTAAACAGGGCGATATGAAAACAGCTCGAAAAATACAGGTACGTTAAGTGACGATACTCACCCTACCCGCACACTTGACATGCGCCCAACTCAGATAATCAATAACCACACGGAGTCCACATACAATAAATCTGTTTATTTGGTATTTAGGTTTATCAACTTGGCATTCCTTTCTGAGAGTCCACATAGCTAATATTGTTTATTTGGTAGGTAAGGTTTGTCAACTACATAGCTGGTACAATAAATCCGATATTCGATATAAACGCAAGAGGGTCCACAGAACAAATAATGTTTATTTCGTATCTTGGTTTCAGAGAGTCCACATAGCTAATATTGCTTATTTGGTATTAAGGTTTGTCAATTTGGCATTCCTTTCAGAGAGTCCACATAGCTAAACATGTTTATTTGGTATTTAGGTTTGTCAACTAGGCATCCCTTTCAGAGAGTTCACATAGCTAATAATGTTTATTTGGTATTTAGGTGTGTCAACTTAGCATTCCTTTCAGAGAGTCCACATAGCTAATAATGTTT